GAAGTTGCTTCACTGGTCTAAGTTGGCACCATCATTATGCTCTTACCAGGTGAGGCAGATCAGTTGCCGGCTTCTGGACGGCCGCTCACAGCGGCTGCTGGCCGCTCACGCTGGCTGCCGGCTATACATGGTAGCCCATGGCAACTCACCTGCTGTACTCACGGCAGCCCAGCTCCAGGTTGAGCTGTTGTTCAGCATCTTAGCTGTTGAGGGCAGTGTCACTGGCCCTCATATGTGGGATCCGAACCAGGGCCCTCTGGCATCCCAAGCCAGCTCTTAACCAACACGCCACTCAGCCGACCTGCAATGTCTTATCTTTTTAATGCTTAAAAGTAAGAAATTGATTTATTGATAAGCTGAAAGGATTACTTACAAGAATCAAGCAGTCTTAAATCCCTCTTGGGACAAAGCAGGGAAAAGATGTTTAAAGAGTAAGCCAAATTGTTAGGAGAGTAATGCCTGCATGTAACTATCAGCAACAGCAGCATTCCCGTCACCATCCTTCTCTGGCCTATGATCGATCATCAGTCTTTTCTCCCATGTTTGTATCACTCCATGGCTGTACATGACATACCGTGGTGATGTCTCCAATCAGCCAGGCCACCATCTGTCAGGGAGCACACCTCAACACCCAAAGGGGTCCCATGGAGTGAATTTTCTCCCCTAGAACCAAGCAGGTAGGTGATGGGAGAACTCAGCCCAACAGCACCATCTCCATAGGGAATAGTGATTTGAATGCTCTTCATGCACAATGTTCAGTACACAACCAAAGATTACGGAGCACAAAAGGAATAAAACACCGTAAACCAGAATCAGCAGAAACAACAGACAAGGGAAACAGATATATTGAGGCTTCAGGTATGAGATTTGTTAGATATAGACCAGGGGTCGGCAAACTTTTGAGACGGAAGAGCCACCAGGGGTCAGCAAACTGCAGCTCGCGAGCCACATGCAGCTCTTTGGGTATACACATGTGGCTCTGAAGCAAAATCAAAAATAAAACTATCAGGGCCGGCCGAGTGGCGCGATGGTTAAGAACTCGCTTGGGATGCCAGAGGGCCCCGGTTCGGATCCCATATATGAGGGCCAGTGACACTGCCCTCNGGCTGCTCAGCTCGGGCTGGACTCGAACCACTGTTGCTCAGAGCTCAAACTCTTGAGCGAGCTCTTAACCAACTGAGCCACTCGGCCGGCCCAAAAGTTCCATTTCTTAATTCAACATATATTCAATGAGCATCATGATGCCGACACCGGGCTAGGCTCGTGTTAGACACTGAGGACAGAGTGAGGAGTAAGACCAAGTCTTTGTTCTGTGGAGCTTATGTTCTGGTGGGAGATCAGCAATTCAAAGGTTATCACTGGTAATCTTTTTGAATACATCTGTGCTTTTTATATGCATATATATACCTATAGATCACACAGTTATTCCAACCTTGTAAATGTATGAAATATATGTATGTATGTGTGTGTATGTTTAGTCATTCTACTTATTAACCTTATTTTTTCCATCCAAATAATATTTATAAACTTCCTTCCATCATAAGGTATTTTTCTGAAAATATTTACTTTATTTTTAAAAATATTTATTTTATTTTTCAATTACAGTTGACATATTAGTTTCAGGTGTACAACATAGTGATTAGACATTTATATAACTTATGAAGTGATCACCCAATAAATCTAGTACCCATCTGACACTATACATAATTATTACTATATTATTGACTGTATTCCTTAGGCTATACCCTACATCCCCATAACTATTTTGTAACTACAAATTTGTACTTCTTAATCCCTTCCACTTTTACACCCATCCACCCAGCCCGCTCCAATCTGACAACCATCAAAATGTTCTCTGTATCTATGAGTTTGTTTCTATTTTGTTTATTCATTTATTTTGTTCTTTAGATTCCACATATATGTGAAATCATATGGCATTTGTCTTTCTCTGACTTACTCCACTCAGCACAATACCTTCTAGGTCCCTCCATGTTATTGTAGATGGCAAGATTTTGTTCTTTTTTTTGTCTGAGTAATATTCCATTGCATATATGTACGACTTCTTTATCCATTCATCCATTGATGGACACCCAGGTTGCCTCTATATCTTTGCTGCTGTAAATAATGCTACACTAGACATATGGATGCACATGTCCCTTCAAAGTAATGTTTTGGGTTTCTTTGGATAAATACCCAGAAGTCTGATTACTGGGTCCTTCTTTGTCTCTTGTTTTAAAGTCTATTTTGGGGCTGGCTGAGTGGTGCGTTGGTTAAGAGTTGGCTTGGGACACCAGCTCTGAGCAGCAGGGCGCCAGTTCAGATCCCACATTAGGGCCAGTGATGCTGTGCCCTCTACAGCTAAGATGGTGAACAACAGCTCAACCTAGAGCTGGGCTGCTTTGAGTCGCCAGTGGCAGCGTAGGCTACAGGGGAGCTGCAGTGGGCTGCCGTAAGCTACCGTGAGTAACTGGCAGCCGGCGTGAGCAGCCGACAGCCAGCGTGAGCTGCCAAGAGCCGCTGTGAGCAGCCATCCAGTGGCCAGCGACCAATCTGCCTCAGCCGGGAAGAGTGCAATGATAATACCAATATGGGTCAGTGAAGCAATGTCCTCCACAACTAGACTGAAGAAAAAAAGGACAATAACTTGCCTGTTCCCCTTCCCCGATTCCCCAACGCTGTTCCCCTCTCCCAATTCCCCAATAAAATCTTAAATAAATAAATAAATAAATAAATAAATAAATAAATAAACAAAAAATCAGTTTTGTCTGGTATGTGTATTGCTACCCCAGTTTTTTTTTCTTTTCCATTTTTGTGAAATATCTTTTTCAGTCCCTTTACTTTCAGTCTGTGTGTGTCTTTCAATTTGAAATAAGTGAATCTCTTGTAGGCAGCAAATGTAAGGGCTTTGTTTTCTTCCATTCAGCCACTCTATATCTTTTGATTGGAACATTTAATCTATTTACATTGAAAGTAATTGTTGATACATATGTAGCTATTGCCATTTTATTATTCATGTTTTTTATCTTTTTTTTTCTTTTTAAAGAAGTCCCTTTAACATTCCTTGTAATACTTGTTTGGTGGTGATGAATTCCTTTAGTTGTTTCTTGTCTGGGAAGCTCTTTATCTGTCCTCCAATTCTAAATGATAGCTTTGCTGTGTAATCTTGGTTGTAGGTCCTTCTTTTCATCACTTTGAATATTAATGCCAATCCCTTCTGGCCTGCTGAAAATATTTTCTTAAGGATTGCATAATATTCCATTGTATGGATGTACCAAACTTTAGCTAACCAATTTAGTTGCTTTTGCGCATTTTTTTTTTGTTATTATAAAAAGTCTTCGAGGGACTTCTTATTACATCTTTAGACATGTCCTTGGTTACTTACTTAGGATTCAGTTATAGTATGGAGTAGCAGGGTCAAAGGTTGGGCAAATTTTTAATATACCTTATTATTGCTTTGAGATAAAAAAGTAAAGAGATCTCTTATCTTCTACATTATGGAGGCTATTTGGATGTTGTGATTGCTGATGAAGAAAAGGAAGTCAAGGGCTTCATTTGCTTAGGTCTTAGCTTTCTTTCCAGTGCCTTTTGTATTTTCTCATAACAACCAGAGCTATATAATTAATGAGTTTTCACTAGCAAAATAAATAGTTAAGCGGCAACACTAGTAAAAGACTTAAAAGTTTGTGCCAAAATAGATTTTATAAATACATAATTGTAACACAAATAACATTTCAGGTTTCATGATCCTTTAACCTATAAAATGGATATTATTCAAACTGAGGACAAGAGAAAAAAAATCCAGATTTATTTTTCACCAATGTTATGAGCCAATAATTCTTGAACAGTTGTGCTTTTGAAATGATCTGTAACCATGGAAAGAGGACTTCAAAGGTTAAAATGTTAACCTGCCTTTCCCGTATGCATAAATCCATTTTTTATTTCTTCACTTGGTATTTTATTAATTGATCACTTCTCTCCTGGTTTTATGATAGATAAGTAAAACCACAATAGGTTATGGTTAAATTTTTACATAAGAACATACCTTTCTGAATGGTTTTTACTTATCAATTACTTTTTTCTTTAGATTTGGATCCTACAAAGAAGGACACAATTATGAGAACAACCATCACTTTCATATGAGTACTCCCAAATACTTTTTATAAACGATTTAAAACAAGAATTCATTGAGCAAGTCTAAGGAAAACAAAAGTATACAAGATAAAAAGAAGAGATGAGTGAAAGTGGGAAACTACACACAAAGAACCTCAAGTTTGAAAAAGCATGATATCTATGCAGTGGAAAATTCTATCAATAAACTATATTGCTTAATAAAAGCATTTCTTCAGATTGTTTTTCTTAAATTTTTGATAAAAAATGGACTGTGGGGTAACAAAGAAAGTTTTACTACTAGAGATAAAATCATTGCAATGTCTTACCTTTTTATTTATTTATTTATTTATTTATTTATAAAGATTTTTATTGGGGAATTGGGGGAAGGGGAACAGAGAAGTTGCTATCCTTTTGTTCTTCAGTCTAGTTGTGGAGGAAGTTGCTTCACTGGTCTAAGTTGGCACCATCATTATGCTCTTACCAGGTGAGGCAGATCAGTTGCCGGCTTCTGGACGGCCGCTCAC